TTATTATTATTATTATTATAATTATTATTACCTTGATTTCTTCATAATACGGCATGAATAGCCTTGGCCTTACAAAAAATCCATTTTTCTTTCCGCCTCTTATCCAAGCATTCACCCTCAAATTATCTCTTTCGTCTCCTATCATATGACTTGGTGGAGTTGAAACTAATCCTCTCCTAATAGCCTAAAAATTTATCAGCATAAAAAATATATTAACAAGAGATATATTTTCTTTTAAATAATTTAAATTTTTGGTAGAAAATATACCTGTACTAATGCTTCGCTATTCGGCGGCAATATATGATCTATTCTGACAAGCGGCAAAAGTTCGCTCAATATCTCCCGTAATTCGATGTCGCTAAGATCTCTTTTCTTAATACCCTTTCTCGTCACAGAATGCACAGTATGACTAAGCAAATTAGGTTCCCGATCCTCCATACGACGTACTAATTCGTGTTCGCCCCACTTGAGCACTGCCTGCAGTACTTCAAGTTCGCTCGCTTGTAAAAAATGGCTCTGTAAAACATTCGCTAAGTGGGCATGATCTAACTGATGAAGAATCGAAGACGAAGCAATTGGCTGAAATTCCTCCCTTAAGTAATGCAACGCTTGCCTGTGTACCCATGCTGATCCGTGAGGTTGACTACCCCATCTGCACATAACATAATTTTTTTTAATAATATGATCTAATTTATAACTTTTGTAAAAGATTTATTAGTAATCATAATCAGATTTACTTGAGAACAGTCGGTAGCGATTCCAAGGTGAGATACTCCAAAATAAGATCCTCGCAACCTTGCGATAATATATCAAGCTCGAGAAATCGTCCAATCTGATACAATTCCATCGCTTCTTCTAATGGACTTGGTCGCATTCGGCCCGTATGTGTTAGGGCTTGAACCTGTAAGTTTATTAAATAAAAGTATTAACATAAAATTAATATACATTAGTGTATAAATATTTTTTTGCTAAGATTTTCTTACCTCTCCCAAACTACCAGCGCTGTTTCCACAACCGCTTCCTCTCAATATTAATGATAAGTCGACAGTATCTAGATACACAGCATGTAGTAATACTCTGGCATATCGTTTAGGTATCACGCTTTCATCCAACACTATTCTAGTAGGTATATGAAGCGCTCTTTCTGTGTGATCCTCGCCCGATCTAGTCCGTCTTTGTATTAAATTTCTGAAGAAAGGAGATCTCGCGGAAAGTATTGCTTTATGACATGGCAGCTCTAATTTCGGGCGAAATCCGTACTCCGAACTTCCACTATCCGGTCTTTGATAATCACTATCCGACGTGAATACAAGAGCGGCATCTGCATAATCACCGGTATCTAGCAAATATCTGAGATCATGTTCCAGTGGATTTGGAGTTCCAAATTCTTCTCCGAGTCGTCGAAGTAGATTTGCTTCCAAAGTCGCGTCATGTGGACAAATATCACCAGTGTAAAGATACCGTAATAACATTGAGAACATCTGTACTTCAAGATGTGGAGTTCTTAGCTCC